TTCCAGCAGATGCTAACAGCGCCAAGTACACCTTCAAGGTCCAAATCATCATGGATCTGAGACTCCCGCAGACATCAAGTGGGCTGGACGCATGGAGAAGGTCTTCTTGGGCTCGCCATTGCTACGCCTACCGACAAACATAACCTCCTCAAGGAGATGACTTCTAGCTCTGCAAAGAGCAGTTACGAATCTGCGTGTGCAGGCCACCGTGAAGTAGTTGGAATGCCTTGCGCCAGATTGCAGTCAACGGATTCCTCCACGCGACGTACGTGGTGGTGAAGACGAAGCCACTTTCCAAGCACGTTTCCAGGACTGCCTGGAACGGGCAGCTCAGCCTGCTTTGGACGACGCTGACATTACGTTTGGCATAAATGCCTGTATCGAAGCGGTCTGTCCCTACAAGGCTCTTGAAAGCAGAAACGCTTCATGCGCCGCAAGATGCGTAAGCCTGCTGATATGTCTACTCGGGCTTATGTCAACAACCCCAGTCGGATGAACGATGAACTTCCTCGTCTACCACCTTTTGGACCCAACCAAACGTTGAACCATGACGAAGTCATTGCATTGTTTGTCATGGAATTCCACGCTCGTGGATGAAGAAGATGGACGAACACGACTTCATCCTTTCTCAGCTCCTATCGGAGAACCATTGGATTCTGCGAAGCATGGAATCCTCCGAAGACTTTGACAAGGGCGGTGATCCAAGCAAGCTCCTACGAAGAAGAACAACAGCAAGAAGTACAGTCTACTCGCAACAACGACCACTCTTCCAAGAACGAAGAAAAATGGTGCGACTACCACGAGTCCAGCACTCACAAACTGCTGACTGCATGACTTTGAAGAAGCTCAAGGCCAAGTCTCAGTCCTCGTCTGACAACAATAACAAGCAGCGTACAACAAGAACAAGACTTGGAAACGCAGTCCGACGACGCCAAAACTACACCAAGAAGGAACTCCCGTCCTCATGAAGAAGGTTTCCAACGCTGCGGTCAAGGCTGATCGTAAGAAGAAAAGCGAATGCAACCATGTTTGCCAAGCGCAAGTCTGACAACTCCGACAACGAGGACACTCCTCTGTTTGGATCCATCAACATGATGGACAAAGATGGCTGCTGTTGACAAGGCGCTTGCCGAATCGACTTCAATCATTCGGACGTAGAGATCTCCGTCTGAGGAATTAGGCAGGATGATGATTCAACGGAACCATGTTCCGTTTCTCATACCTAAGTGATGAAGATATCTCACTAAATAGTAAACAAGATTTGTTTGCAACTAACGAAGTCCAGGCAAATTAGATAATTGCCTTGCAACTCTCAACTAGACCTGACGATATGTTCAGCATGTACTTCGTCCATGGCCAATCAATCATCAAGAAAAGAGACCCGAAACTATCGTCTATGTTAGATTTTAACAGACGAGAGAAAGGGAACGAAAACCCGTTACACTCTGTTGCTTACTGGATCAGAAGCATCCGGAACTTAATGCTCAAACTCATGCTAAGAGTTCACTCAATGAATGATATCATGGGGGCGTCCAAACATATACGGACTGCTTCTTGAAGGAATTGAGACCCCGACGAAGTGTAAGGGCACAATCGGATTCCTGAGTTCACCGATGATAGAATTATCAAGTGATTTACACGTCACCAAGAACTTGGGGGCGCAAGACGTGATCATGTCAAGACACTCTCTCGACTAAGAATCAAGTCGATTTACTACCATGTCATCGGGGTGGAACCATGCATTTTTCCCGGCGAAAGAGGCAAACCAATAAAAGGAGAACTTCTCCATTCCGACTCTGCAGCTGTCAGCGACATGTAGATAGTCTCAAGAAGAGTTTTGATACGACATACGAACAATAGGCTTAAGGCAGATATGCAGAGTCGAAATCCGTTAAACAAGGAGGAGCAAGAACTGCCACGAAAGACTCAGTCATGAGTCGAACTCAAACCCTATCTAGGATCGAGTCGCGAACAAGGCTAAGAGCCGTGTATTGCAATTGTTCCAACAATATCTGTCACACTCACTATTAATCCAGTCAATTTTGTCAGAAGTCCAACCACACTTGGGATGGTGCCCTTGAGTTGCAATTGCTGATGCACTTCAAATGATTGCAAGCTTTTCGCCAGCAAGGCAATCTCCGGAGGAATTGTTCCTTCCATGTTATTGGCATGCCAAAATGACAAAGCTTTGATTTCTCCCATCTTGTTACAGCACAGGTCGGGAGAGAATGAGAAGTTCGCGGATATTAAAATTTGTTCCCAGCTGCATTCATGAGTCTCCCAATCCAGCCAGCCACGACGCTGCACCCAATAGTCCCCCTTCGTGGAATAGTAGAATGTGGCCATAGCAAATCTTTGTATTAGTCTCCATTTTGGTAGATCTTGTTGGGTGAAGGATTGGTTGTTGATGTTGTTGACCAGCCATTGATAGGCCTTGGACTGAGGAGATCTGGAGTTTGCCAGTGCCTTTTGTGTGTACTGAGGTAGATTGAGTGACTCCAAAAATGTCTGCGCTGTTGCGACTTCCACAGGACTTGCAGGAATAGGAATTGATCCATTTTGATTTCGTAGCTGATTTCTGTTTCCTTGTTTGGATGTCACCACAAAGATCAGGACAGTAATAGATACAGCAAGGAAAGCCACAATGACCTCAGCAGAAAGGGAACAAAGCAACTTTTGCCTCCAGTAGTAAGCTCTGGATCTCTGGTTGGTTGGTAGTGGCACTGCATTGGGTAACAGGTCTATCTGCTGTTCATCGTCTATTAGATGCGCAGTGACATCATTGTCTGCAATTTCTTCAATCCAATTGTAAAAGCCTTCCTCACTTGCACCAGTATTTCTACCGGCATTTGAATGATTCTGTCTGTCAGTAGCAAAACATGGACCAACAACAGCATAGGCACCAGGACAAGTTTGTGGTTGTCCAAAATACTCGGGTTGCCTCATTGGAATTGTATGTAGTGGCGAATGTGCATCATCTGTGGTTCTGTCGTGGCTGTTGTCACCCATCGGTAATATTGTGCCAAATTTTTGGGTGAGTTCGACTAGCTCCAAGTCTCCAGCTGTCTCAAGACTTGCAGCAGTGGTATTTTCTTTGACACCAAAGCCACTTGTGGTGGTTGATGTTGGCAGAGGAGAGACAGCAGGAGGGGCAGCAGCAGTGGCAGCAAGACTATGCTCAGGAGAAGAATGGCTCGAGGAACCATCATGATCATCTTGGGTTTGTTTAGACTCATCCTCTTGACATTTTTCTGAAGTTCCTAGCTGCAATCTCAACTCCGCAATCTTGAGAAGATCTGCATCATAATTGTCATTGTTGTTGCTGCTGTTGTTAGACATTGTGGTCCATCAATGGATAAAGGGATCAAGTAGACGGGGAAAGTTACTATGGGTTAGAGAGAGCTATTGAGGACGGGGACAGAGAGGGGACGGCACGATGCAGGCAGGGATCCAGTGCAACACGTACGTAACACGTAACTTACTGGAGCTTCCAACAGAAAACGATAATAATAATATTAATATCACCAATCAACCGTCTGGCGTTTTTCACTCAGGCTTTTAAAACTTTACACGACTGACTTCTGTACAAATGCAGTTAAGGGCTTGCTTTTAAGGCTTGTTTAAAAGGGCTTGTTGAAGCTTTAAAGGATTGTTTTAAGGGTTTGTTTATTAAAGGGATTGTTTGCTCCCGATAAGGGATTGTTCTAGGGGGGATTACACGAAGGCTTAATAATAGGGTTGGTTTTGAGAACCTACTAGTAAATGCTTTTTGTTTGGGGTTTGTTTCCTTTAAAAAGTGCTTGTTTAAAGGCTTATCGAAGATTTAGGGGCATTATTAAAAGGCTTTTTCCAGTCGTGGTAATTTGATGTTTTTTAAATCCTGAGTGAAAAACGTCGGGCTGGCTAGATAGATCTAATTTGCCCACGCACTCCAAACCTCTAAACCCCGGTTGAATTAATAACCTTGGAGGAGGAACTTTGACGACGCCTAATAATCATACTCTAGTAGTTGACAACTTCCCCCCTCTATGGACAGGGCCTGTGAATCTCGCCGCACCTCTTTCCATCACGTTGTTTGTTCTGTGGAGGGCATGCTTGCTCCCAAAGCCAATCTTCTTTTGCATGCCTTGCTGGCTAGAGGGTCAAAGCCACCAAACCTCAATATTCCTACTCCCAAATGATGTTCTTCATTCATCCAGACTCCATTTTTTATTGCCCTTGTTAAAGCCACTCAGCCATTTGTGTCCCGTCTGCTTCAAAAAAGTGTCAAGCCCTTTGCCCTCCCTGTTGGTCCTCGCTTTTGGTATCGTCCGTGAACCCACGGAACCCAGTCCTTGACCTCTTCTTTGTCTAAGCCTGGCCCTCGCCGGCTTCGGTAGAAACCTTCGCAGTCTCCCAAATGGATAGCTTCCCTACTTGAAAGACTAAACCCCTCCACACTTACGTTACTGGATCCAAAACATCCCCCCGTCAGGGGGGACCAAGGCGGGTTGGAAGCAGGTCTGGATTTTCGAACAGCGAACAGACCGTCGCGAACAGCAAACAAACAAGGAGGGGCATCTTGCCATCTGGGCATCTTGGTGTCCCCATGAAGGATCTGGAAGATGCGGACGAAGGCGTACAGGCAGATTTGCAAATGCTCATCACTGCAGGAGAGGTACTGGCCATTTCCAATAGTGAAGACAATGACAAATTCTATTTCCCTGAGGAGATGCCTTTTTGGTGGAACTAGATGGCATTGTGGCACTCAAAGAAACGGCGGCCAACAGTGACAAACAAGTCTACATTGTCCACACCAATGTCGATCCATGCAAACAAATCAGAAGAGGAGAAGCCATCAATGTCAGAGGACAGTGGTTCCGGTTTTCCAGTGCAGTCAAGGAGGGAGCACTCTCGGATCAACCAGTCAGAGCACAGGCTCCCTTATCGGTCGTCAGTCTCCTAGAATTGAGCAAACGAAACGAACAAGATGGATAAATTCGACCCTTTTCCAAATCACTCATTCCACTCGATGCTCCACTCAATCCATCTTCCATTTCTTCCAATCTGAAATCATCCAAAAATGCACGCGGCAAACTACACAAACTCGCACACAACACCAACGGAGCTCGCAGTGGCATGTCCACCGCGGCACAATTGCTTTCCAGCAATGCTCATGCATCCAACCCGCGGTACTGGCACAATCCTTTGCCATGGCTGACACCGCCACAAATGCCGCCACGCCTGGTTCCCACGTGCGCAAACGACCCACCAACAGTAGTAAATCCAATGGCAGATGGTAATACCGTTGATAACAAATCCAAACGACGACAAGCCGTCAAAGCACAACAAGCCGCGGCGACGGATCCGGCACTCTCCTTGTATTCCCATGCTCGTCATCACGGATGTACCAAGGATATACCGAGACATGTACTTGGCCATAAGAACATTCCCGAAAGTGACGCTGAATTGCAGGCACCGCTAGTTAAACATCAATTGCTCGAACCGCGAGAACAAATGAGATGACCGCGGTTGGCAAATAGAGCCAATGTCGATAATGACGGCAAACCCAAAAAGAGACAGTATTATGAACGCAAGAACCAACGCATGCCCAATACACATTTGGAAGGAACAGAAATTGGTGCCGTTGTGCGGCGGGCGCAGGAATGGCAGCAGCAAGGCAAGTCGGTGGGTGATGGTGGAATTTAAGAGTGCATGTGGTATGCCTAGCTAGCCTAGGTCGGTAATTTTGATTCGTCGGGTAGTCTGATACTAGCTAGTACTTTGGCAATTGCGTAATTAGAAATGAAGACCGATCATAGAGGCGTCTGTTCGGCTCTTTGAGATTGAACGACGACACCGGCACAATCTTGGGCACATAAATGAGGGAGTACGAGGCTCAGACCCAAGCGATGGCCAAGGGACAAAACTAAGAATCAGAGTCCTCCACTGACTCTTCAGAGGAGGAAGAGGCAGATCCCTCCTCTGCAGCATCATCATGGCTCTTCAACAGGTCATCCAACAGTGCCTGGGCTTTCGCTTCGTTGTGGTCGACTGTGTGTGGGTATGCACAATTTCCAAGGCTCTTGCGGAAGAGCGGACCCTGAAGTCGCAGCCTGAGTCAAGTAACCATGCCAAGTGGAAAACATTGCGTAACACCTGATCCATTCACGAGACAGCTCCCAAGAGCGGCAGTTCCTCTCACATGGCCAGCTTCATGTGCCTTCTTGTGCCATTCATAGGCCAGCTGCGGGTCTTTCTGAAAGCCGGATCCACGGCTGTATTTATTTCCCACTTTCCACATAGCTTTACCATCACCATTGGCCTTCTTCAAAAGCTCTTCATTTTCTTATTAAAAACAAACCGGCTTACTTAGGGGTTGAGGCAGGGACCCAAGGTCGGAGGTCTGACCGAGGGCTTAAGAGAGGGCGCAAGCCCGACAGCCCGATGGTCAGGCCGGAGACCGATGGGGCACAGCCGGCCCTAAGTAGCAGGTTTGTTTTGAAGGGAACGATAACGGCTGGTTTGTATTTGTAACCGCCGGTCTGTGTAGACCTCTGTAGAGGAGTACCACAGAACCAGGTCACAAATACAAAACCTGCCGGTTCGTTCCTTTGTCTTCCGGACTTTCTCATTCCAAACTTTCACCACATCACCATGGATGGCTTTGTTCTCAATCAACGTCTCAATCAAGCTTTTGATGTGTGGGGCAGGCACCAGTGTTGTGCCCATCGGTTCATTGGTGATGATTGACTTGATGGGTAGTTCTTTTTCCTGCTGTGTCTTGAAATAAGTCTTGATGGCCTCTTTTTCGTAGGTTCGACCATCATGGAGAAGGGAAGCGAGTGGTCGCCGTGGTCTATGTCGAAGCAGAAATGCCACCATCTTCATGCTGGGCCTGACCCAGATGTGGTGGTCGTGGTTGGCGGCAAAGAGTTTCGTCACCACAGCGTTGCGCTTCGAACATGGAGTGGCTACTCGACGCAGCCTTTCGTGGTGGATTCTTTCGGGAAGCCAAGTCGAAGCGCTTCGAGTTTCCCGACAGGGATCCAAAAGATTGGGAACTCATTGTCCTATTGACGTCTCCCTTGTCAGAGACAAAAATCACCTTTCGCAATGTCTTTGTGTTGGCCGATTGGTTCAACATCCTCGACTGTCGCGTCGGTCTCTGGCAGCGCGACGAGCTTCTAAGCGACATTGAGATTCCAAGATTGTATCCCAGTCATCGATGGAACGTGAACCCAATCAATCACTGGGCCACGTCTTTCAGTGGAAGCAGCGGCGGCGGCGACACTTTTTGAGACTTCGATGCCAATGCCGCTTCCAACGTCGTGGTCCTGCAACGTCTCATGGACATTTTGGTGCTCGCCGTGCAAAACTCTCTCAGGAAGACCAAGAAACGCGCCCTTGGTGTCTTGGAACAGGCTATGGAAAAGGCTCCCTATCGCGTCCCTTTCAAGCATGTTGAAACCCTGGTCTCCATCATGCAACAGGACAAGAACTGCCGAGACGCGATTTGGGCCATGCTTCAAAAGTTCCGGCTTTTGCCTCCGAATTTGATCCAGTTCCCATCGGATGATTTGCTGGAGAATCCTCTCCTGCCAATGCTCATTGCCGAGCGTACTACAAGTCCGGTAATCTTCATGAAGGCGATGACCAGCCGCGTGCTTCAAATCGTCCAGCAGGAAGGAAACACTTTCGTGAGCCAAACCCTTGCCGAGGACAGTCTCATTGGCCGTTTTGTTCGTCCTCACCTGGAAACGATTCCTCCTCGCAACGATTCTCCTCTGTCTCTTGATCATGAACATGGAGTTTGATCTGCAAGTAGTGAGAGACGAACTCCTGAGATTGATCGAGAGTCCTGTCTTTTGAGCGTGAGTTTGCAGCGGATCCTGACTACAACCTTTGACTTTGACCGCTTTTTGGCGGAGAGACAGAGACGGATCCAGAGAGATATCGAATTCTAGAGTGATACGGAGATCGAGAGTGATACCGACTTCTTGAGGTCTCTCGAGAGAGTTGAACGAAAAGGATGTTGGGCCGTGGTAGTGCAAAAGAATATAGAGAACAGAACCCCGCGTCTTCTTACAGTACGACTATCGAGGTTCACAGAAGCATTCCTCGGGCTCATGTCACAATTCACAATACTTCTCGCAAACCATCGTACATCTGGCCGCATGGTGTTCTAGCTAGGACCGGTGGTGGCTACGGTAACTGCTAAATACAGAGCGCCGAGACAACGACTCTTCGATCCTGTGGGCAGTTGTGGTATGGTGATGGACGAGGTTGGAATCCCATAGCTATCAATACTAGTAGCAATTTTGTTTGCAATCTGTAGCGAAGACACGGTAGTCTAGTACTGTACCGTATGGAAGTGCAGCCGTTCCACTGAAAATGCTCCAGCCAGCTTGTTGGAACTGAAGACAATGTCACTCAGTACGCGTACGGTACTATATGCATACGGGTATGCATCCCATGTGGGGAAGGCATCATGTGGCTGGAATGCGATTGAGGATTCGGATTCGATTCTCAAGAATCAGCATTTGGATGTCGGATTCTTAATATGAATGATCAATTGGCATTCTCCATATTCCTCGCAACCACAGCTACCACCCCATCTCATTCTTCATCCACTCTCCAAACAATCGATCCCCTCCAACACTATTCCAAATATCACTGGGAGTGTATCCTCCCTCATCCGGCTGGCCAGCAAACCGTCGTTCTGAAAATAAAAGACCAGCGCCACCATCCGTTTGGCTCATGGCAAGCCACTCAATGACACATCGATTTTGTCGTTGTGCCGCTTTGTGCAGCGGCGAATGTCCCTGACTTTGCCGTGTGGCAAAACTGACCCCAAAGGTTGTCGATAAGAGCTGACATGCTTGTTTCACTTGTTCCGTAGATTCACATTTGGTCATGGCCACCCAGTGGGCCGCCGTACAACCCCACTCATTGGGTTTGCCAGGGCATGCCCCATACTGATTGACCAGCAGTTCCATGGCATGGGTGTGTGCTCCAAAGCAAGCCAAATGAAAGGGAGTGGTTCCGTCACCCGACACTTCATCTACGGCATGTCCATTTTGTAGCAAGTATTCGATACACTTGACTTGGCCATTGCGCGCTGCGTAATGCAATGACGTTTTTCCATCTCGTCGTCGCAGTTTTGGGCCATTTTCGGCATCGCCGTGTGTAGCAGTAGCAGTAGTTGCATCATGGTTGTCTTTGTTGTTGTCGGTAGCAAGTTGTTGTTGTTGTCGTCGAGTTTCTTTCAATAGCTTTAAGCAATCCAAATGGCCACCACCAGCTGCCCAATGTTCGGCAATAGATCCATGACGATCGGTTTGATTCAACAGGGCCATTATTTTGTCTTTTGTATTGTTTCCCAGCATGGCTGTTAGTGTGTCGAGATTGCCATCGGCGGCTGCCTGCAGAAATGGTGGCAAACTGGCCTTGTAGGATTTGGCGACTTGGCCATTCCGATCTACACCAGAAGTTTGTGATGATTGTTGTTGCTTTGCTGCAGAACTGTTTTTGTGTTTGTTGTTGGATGACAGCAGTGGTTGCTCTTCCAAGCTCTGTACCATCTCCAGTACTTTGGAATTCCATTCTTCCACGTCCTTGTCGGTGGGATCCCACGACTCTGGATGCTGCTGCTGTTGTACTTCTACCACTGCTCCTTCAATCACACCATTCTGCTGCCGTTGTTTTTGTTCCTGTAGTTTCCGTCTTCTCTTGCGTTCTGCCTTGCTTGGTGCCTTCCAGGGAGTGTGCACCGAATGGAGATGCGATGCAATGCCACGGCCTCTGCAAAGCCAAAAAAATCAATAGGGTGAGAAACAACGGCAACAACAAAAGCCGCAAGCATGCAATCATACTACATATTTTCCAAATCATACCTCGCAAAGACTTTTTTGGAGAGAGGAAAGCACATGGGACAGTGAGTCCAGCCAGCCTCGGTTCCTCGACCACTCTTGGCAGTACCACTGCTATCGGCAGATGGTCCATGATTATTATTAGCAGCCGCAAGTCTGGCATAGGGATCCGCTATAACCGACACACGCTTTCTCTTTCGCCTTGTCGTCGTAGCAGACAGCAAGTCAACATGGGATGCCTCGGGGAGCTGCAGTTCCTTAACAGCAGCAGCAGTCGCCATGGTGGATGATGAGTGGATGGGGAGGCTTTCCCGAAAAAAGTGCAAAGAATGAAATGATAATTTCCCTACTCTTTAGAAAACCCCCTTATAATGAAATGAAGCGACTTCAACATCATTAGGGATACAAATAGTCCGGTCCCTAAGCCATGGGGGGTCCGAAGACACATAGGTTCGGACAAGAGGAAAGAGGACAATAAGCGCCGGGCAAGCTTGGCGAAAGACTTAACAAATCTTCTGGAAAGCATCCTTTTTCGGATCCGAGTTTTCAGGGGAACGTTCCGAGGCCTCCAAGCATGTTTGAATGGTTTATCATTCTAATCAGCAATTTGACCAAGACAGTACACCATGTTGTGCCTTGTATAACAGGGATTTCGGCTTAAATGTTTCGTTTGAGGAAAATGCTTCGGAACGATAGCACGAAAATGCGCGCCGGGCAGCTAATGGCCCCTCTGAACCGATGTGAAGACCGCGAACGAGTGATCGACGAGTCATTTGCCGCACGCACATATGCACATATTCTTGCTACTGTAGAACGTGTACCACCATAATACCGATGCCACCGCTGCCTACTTAGCCCCCCCCAGCCACCTGAGCAAAAGAGTTGTGGCACCTAATCCATTATTTGCTGCTGGGATGATCGTGGGCGTCCACCTTTCCCGCTAGCTAGCTTGTCGGCCCCTGCCCTCTCCCTCCACTGGCGCTGTCTACTCTCTGCGTCCTCCCCTGCCTGCTGTCTCCTTCTGTTGGCCTGCTCAAAGGTGTTCATTCCCTGCCCACTCAACCTTTTCTCGTGATTCACGACACACCCATACAGTAGTTCTTGCTACTAGTAACACATCGTAGCCATACCCAGTAGTATCCATTGCTTTATGGGTTGATTGACCACCATGTCTAACAATAACAACAATGATGATGATGTCGATCTTCTCAAGATTGTGGAGTTGAGATTGCAGCTAGGATATTCAGAAGATGATCAAGAAAACGATCAGTCCAAACAAACCCAAGATGATCATGATGGTGGTTCCTCGAGCCGTTCTCCTCCTGCCCCTAGTCTTGCTGCCACTGCTGCTGTCCCTCCTCTTATTCCAACATCAACCACCACAAGTGGCTATCTTGCCAGAGAAAGCAGTGCTACTGCAAGTATTGAGACAGCTGGAGACTTGGAGCTGGTAGAACTCACCCAAACAAATGGCACAATATTACCGATGGGTGACAACAACAGCCACGACAGAACCACAGATGATGCGCATTTGCCACTACATACAATTCCAATGAGGCAACCCGAGTATTTTGGACAACCACAAACTTGTCCTGGTGCCTATGCTGTTGTTGGTCCATGTTTTGCTACTGACAGACAGAATCATTCGAATGCCGGTAGAAATACTGGTACGAACGAGGAAGGCCTTGACAATTGGGTTGAAGAAATTGCAGACAATGATGTCATTGCGCATCCTATAGACGATGAACAGCAGATAGACCTGTTACCCAATGCAGTGCCACTACCAACCAACCAGAAATCCAAAGCCTACTACTGGAGGCAAAAGTTGCTTTGTTTCCTTTCCGTCGAGATCAATGTGGCTCTTTTTGCATCCAAACAAGGAAACAGAAATCAGCTACCAAATCAAAATGGATCAATTCCTATTCCTGCAAGTCCTGTGGAAGTCGCAACAGCGCAGACATTTTTGGAGTCACTCAATCTACCTCAGTACACACAAAAGGCACTGGCAAACTCCAGATCTCCTCAGTCCAAGGCCTATCAATGGCTGGTCAACAACATCAACAACCAATCCTTCACCCAACCAGATCTACCAAAATGGAGACTAATACAAAGATTTGCTATGGCCACATTCTACTATTCCACAAGAGGGGATTATTGGGTGAAACGTCGTGGCTGGCTGGATTGGGAGACTAATGAATGCAGCTGGGAACAAATTTTAATATCCGCGAATTTCTCATTCTCTCCCGACCTGTGCTGTAACAAGATGGGAGAAATCAAAGCTTTGTCATTTTGGTATGCCAATAACATGGAAGGAACAATTCCTCCGGAGATTTCCTTGCTGGCGAAAAGCTTGCAGTCAATCGAAGTGAATCGGCAATTGCAACTCAAGGGAACCATCCCCACTGAGTTGGGACTGCTGACAAAATTGACTCAGTTGAAGTTGTTTGTAACAAACATTGATGGCTCTATTCCAACCGAGATTGGTCAACTGGAGAGTCTTCAGTTGCTTAAAGTTGATTTGACACCAATTCACGGGCATATTCCTTCTGAGATTGGACAACTGTACAACTTATTGACATTGGTTGTGGGGAGAGCTGATCTAACAGGTATGTGTGCTTTGTTTTGGTTTGGTCAGCAGATTGGAAGCCTGATGTTGTCATTCAATCTAGGTTCAGTACCAGGTGAGCTTTACAGATTGCCTGGCCTGCAGTCTCTAGCAATGAATGACTGCCCTGGGCTGGAAACTGAATATATCCTTCAAGAAGTCATTCACAATACAAAACAGCTTCGCTCGCTTAGCCTATTAAGCCAAAGCAGTGGGTCAGTATTGTCAATTCCATGTAAGAATCCATGCTGGCTTGACATGCGGAAAAGGAGGTTTCAAACAAAGGATGACTCACTTTTAGACTTCTTGTGATGCAGCCGAACTTGGCGTGCTGACAGAACTGAAACGCCTCCAATTGAGAGACTGGACAAATCAGGGCACTATCCCGAGTGAGCTTGGGCAGTTGACAAAGCTGGTAAGCAAAGTCCAAGCAATCTTATTTGACTTTGAATAGATTACGGTATGCAAGTACATGTACACTGATCTTGGATATACATATCAACAGACCACCCTGGACTTGCATGGGAACTCTATCTCTGGATTTATGCCACGTGAGGTCTTTGAACTGACAGGTGAGTTCAGAGACATGCTGTTGTGTTGTATCATACTAGTGTTGACTTCTGCCATCAGAATTCACCTTTGTTTGCTTTTCTCAGAGCTGACCATCTTCGAGCTTGGCTCCAACCAGTTGCAGGGCACACTACCACCTGCTCTCTTTTCCAAACTTTCCCACTTGAAGTTCATATACATCAACGACAACCTGTTCTCGGGCACTGTTCCTACAGATGTGGGTCAATTGTCTGATCTCAGGAAACTGGAAATGCAAAGTACTGCTCTATCTGGCACCCTCCCTACAGAAATACTCATGCTGGAGCACCTGGAAAACTTGGTAGTCACAGACACATCCTTGTCCGGCAGCATCCCTGAAGAGCTGTGTGACAGAATGTACCAGCAGGAAGTGAAATGCTATGGTCCTCCACCGTGTAAAGTCTTCCGAGTGAATACCAGCACAACTGCTTGCCATGGCACTTCCCTCTGTGGATGTGATTGTGGTCCTTGCAAACTTAATTAAATATATAGTTTTGGAAGCTTTCTGTTGCTGTCCATGTTGCATGTATGGCTGTTCTTATTGCCTGGACCTCTGTGGAAACGTCATTCGTGGCAAAATACTTAAGCGACGATACACCGAGGCATAGGAGACTATCAAAATGATTTAAGAGACGAAAGCAATCGTCTCCTATATTTAGGAGACGATTCATTAGGAGACATTCCATTTAGGAGACGATCGTTTCGAAATAGGAGACGATCCGAAAGATTTAGAAGACGATACCATACAGTTTACATGGTGCACTTAGGAGACGATCTGTTGAGAATAGGAGACGATCCGTTGAAAATAGGAGACGATTTAAGAGGAGACGAAAGATTTAAGAGAGGATCCGTTTCGTCTCCTATTTTTAGGAGACGAAATCCATTAAATAGGAGACGATCAAAAGGATTTAGGAGACGATCGGTGGCACGACTCGAGTTTCCACAGAGGTCCTGGACTGGTTGGCCTGATGTCTTCGTTAGCTTAAAGGTTGTGTCAGATTTAATCGATTTAATCGAATCATACCGTTGCCTGTCTCTCAAACGTGAATAGGGTGTGCTACGGGCACTAAGGCGAAGTCGGAACGCTGTTTCTGGTTATACTGTAAATGGAATAGTTGAATTCAACCATGCATTAGCATCTGCTAAGCCGCCCAAACACTCGCGGCATCGAGTAACAAGCTGTAAGAGACGGCGACCTTCGCCAAATCGGTGACTCTGTCATCCTGCAGCAATCCCTCCAAACACATGACAAGGCAACTCCCGCAATGTGGGTCGCTTCCATGTCATTCCTTGCGATAACGGTTCAAGGCACCGTGATAGCTGATTTCCAAATGAGCCAAACCACCAGTCTCTGGATCATACTTGACAACAGTGGCTGCTTCCGTCGTTGCTATTGTTTGATTCCTACTACGAGCAGCCAGGAGATGGGCCACCACTTGGTTCGTGTTCATGTTGTCGTCAAAGCCACCATTATGGATGTAGTCGAGACGATGCTCCGTCAACAACTGCATCACAAAATCCGTTATGGGAGGTAATGTTTCGTGTACGCGGATCTTTTTGTGACTCCATTGCAATTCTTTCAACAGTGACAGTGACAGAATCGCCTCTTGGAGCCAGCACACAATGTAGGTGGTCATGGAACAGCGGTCCATGACGAGCGTTTCGAGTTGACATGTACTCCAATCCATGGTGGGTGGTGGTGGCAGCACTCGATGTCGGTGTCAGACATGGATCTTCTTTTCCCGTTGCACGCGACAGTTTTGGAGCGCCAACGACTGTAGATTGCAACCTTTGTTAGCCAAGATTCCGCCGAGAAAATAAAATCCCACCGTGTCATATTGTAGCGTCAAGCTCATGCGCCTGTGACCGTTCTCGGCCAGTTTCTCTCACAACGTGGGAAGAATCTGGGCGATGATTCCTCCACTTTTGGCACCATGCAGCGTCAAATGGCACAAGTTGGGGGCAGAGCTTGCAATAATTCGTCCAGAGCGGCAGTAGGGAACCCACTGTATTGCAGTACATTCCACAAGGGAATGGAGCCAGTGTGGTTGCATTGGGTAATTCCTTCGGGGTACCGTCTGGCCACGAGCCGAATAGCGGCACGATAGTTGTTGTTTTTCTCTGTAGGAGTGTGATTGGAAGGATACGAGTTGACAGCCGCGTGATGGGTAGGTTACCGTGTTCACCCACCGCTCGTACCACCTCTGGGTTTTTGGAAATGAGAAACTCGATCACATCATGGCGGGATCGACTCTGAATGGCTTGATGGAGTAGCAGTGGAGGCGCTCGTCCACATGTACTACTGCTGGTATTGATATCACCAGCACTCGTTCTGATGGCATCGGGGTATATGTCATGTATTTCTTTAACAACCGAAAGAGATGCTTTGCCATATTCCAGCAATATCTCTAGTGGAAATCGACCGCCAAACGGCACAGCGGCCAACGCAGGATGTGCTCGAAGCGTGTTCCATAGAAAGATGCAGTCCTCCTCAGTATTCTGCATGTTCACCTTCAATAATTCAGCCGTCAAGGCATCCCTCGCTTCCACTGGAGCGTTCCTCAATCGTGCATGAAGCCGACCCTAAAATAGGGTCGAATTTAGGGTCGGATTCCCTTTAGGGTCGGGTTTCGAAACCGACCCTAAAAATAGGGACGGTTTCTGAAAACCCGTCCCTAATTTAGGGTCGGGTTTCGTTTTTGGGTCGGGTTTGAAAAACGTCCCTAAATAGAAACGGGACTGCCTGGTAAATACATTGAAAACGCACCAATATTAGGGTCGGGTTTCGAAACCGACCCTAAAAATAGGGACGTTTTCTGAAAAATAGGGACGGTTTCTGAAAAACCGTCCCCAATTTAGGGTCGGGTTTTGTTTTAGGGTCGGGTTGTGAAACCGTCCCTATATTTAGGGACGGATTCCCCCAAACCGACCCTAAATTAGGGTCGGATTTAAAGTCATGCACGATTGAGGAACGCTCCTGGTGCTGATGATGGGGTATCTTCCATGATCGATGATTCGCCATTTGCCATGGAGTGAGAGCCAGTCCAGACTTGAATTGGTGGTCATGGAATCGAAGTTCAAGAATCGAAGAATCAAAGTTTGTCCACTGAAAGGGCCCGAAATCAGGATTTTAAGAATCCAATTGAATTGATCAATTCCAATCCAAAATATAAAATCGAAACCTAAATATAAAACCGAAACCTAAATATAAAGCAGAATTGCATGTAAATCGTGATTTCGGGCCCTTTCACTCAAAAATCTGAAATGGTGCCTGGTCTGAACCTTGGATCCAACCCCTCAGGCCACACACGAAATCCAAGTGGCCTGGGGAAAATTCTAAGTTGGGGTCCAAGTTTGCCGAATCCCAAACTCTATCAGAAGTTTGAATGAAAAAAAAAAGCGGTTTTGACCGCGAAATTGATGACCCACCGGTACTGGCCAGTACTAGAGCCTCTAGCTACTAGCTAGCTAGCTAGATCTATCCACATCACTCTTGGTGTTGTTGAAGCTTTTGTTGATGTGTGCAGGCACACTGTTGCCGCTACCGTATCCGTATCCACAACCGATGTTTTGATTGTTGTTGTTAGTAGCAGTTAATAGTAGTGGTAGCGGTCGTCGTTCGTTCATTCGATCCATACGGGTAGTTGACTGACTACCGTATTGTTATCCTGTTTGTCGGCGGTCCTGTCGTAGGACTTGTCCATGTCGAATTATCGGTTTGTTTGTTCGTGCACGACATTGATTCTGTCGCACCTCTCCTCTATCAGCACTGACTCAATGGCTTGATAGTGAGGCTATGGAACTCCCACAGAAGCACCTCTGTGGTATACCCTTATTCGAGTAGCCGCTAGCAGCTGGCACCGTAGCTGCCTCGAACCTCGAATCCTAGTCTATAATTGTTGATGGTAATATAATACAATAGATTAATGACAATATAGAGGTTTAATAGTATAGCTAGTTTGCTGGTTGTTGTTGTTTTCTTGGACAGAGGGCGAGTTTCATCAATTCACTTTTCCGGAAGAGGAGACATGCGACAGACAGTCGCCCACGAGTATCTCTAGTACCCTCAAGGCAAAACGGTTCCGCTACTGCCGTCGACAATATTGGTATCGCTCCTGCTAGCAGCTGCTATTACTGCTGCTCCTGTTGACGTTTGTTATCCAACAGCTAATAAGTTCTATTTCGGAACATTGATTTGGATTTCTGCTTTTTATTGTGTGGATTGGGTAGCCAACTCCAACCTAAATTTCAAGTTTCTATGCATACTTGGATCTTTGATTTTGGATAGTTCGATTTCAAATCTGGACTGGCTCTGAATGAAGCCCTCTTCATTGGTATCGTACGGTAGTACAGTTCTTCAAAACTTTGAAAGCGCGATCGAGAAGGGTGTTGTGATGGATGGATATGAGCCAACTAAGTGGCCCTTACATGCAAGAACCAGTACCGGTACGCACGAACTGGTACAGTTACCACGGTACTCAATGCATCTTGAGCTGGTTGAAGCAAACCTGATCGGCATGATTGTGTTATTGTGTTAGCTATTGTGTTACGAACGTTAATGGACCGTTGAATAGAAATTTCTCGAGTGCCACAGGGACCATTCGGAATAAGTTTTGCAAACTGGAAACCTGATAAAAACGCCCAGGAAGACTCCACCACCTCCGTCCCAGAGGTTCCTTAAGTAATTAGTACTAAGTACCATAACCCCATCCTAAGTACCCCTCAGCACACAAGACGAGCCGCTCCATGGTAACCTAGTGAACAACCTAGTGAACCGAACCTGCAAACCAGCGCCTAGGTTGTGAGACTTTGATGAAGTCCTTTCGTCGGCATTGTTCCAACACAACCATGTCGGATGAGGAAGATCCTCAAAACCTTACCTCACGGTGATTACAGAGTAAGAAGATAGAGCAGCCCTTGAAGATATCAGAGATACAAAAGGCAGCAGCAACAAGACTCCTGCCGCTCTCAAACACTTCAAGAACTTCCTAGCCATTTACTGTGAGGAGATAGGAGTCCCTGTTGTGGAAACAGGCGACATCCCTTACCACGGCCTCGGCGACATTGCAGATCATCAACAGTGGTGGGATGACCTCTTTGGAAAGTTCTTCTACTATGTGACTTTCAACGCCTACAAGTGTTTTGATAAGAAGAACGGTCTTGTCGGATACGAAGCGGCCACCGGATATGGAAGCGCAGTGAAGTCTTTCTTCAAGAGGAGATTCCACGGCAAACCACCTCTCACTGTTTTCACCACGAGTTGGAGGAAGCTTCGCAACACCCACGCGTCGCTTTACAATGATGACAACAAAAGTGATCCGTCTGTGAGACCTCGAACTGCCTCCTCGGATGATGATCGAAAAGCCATGGCCAACGCCTGTTTCTGGCGTGCAACCGCCCAATCCGCTGAATTCCATGGCTCAATCTTTTCTTGTACCATCTCCTTGGAAGAGGCCGAGAAACCTCGACATTGAAACCAGAAGACATCAGCGCCATCGACGCTCTCAACAGTTTCCACAGTTACAAACTATTATGTGTCTCCATCCAACGCGACAAAGAAGGTCCCTTCCAAGAGCTCAACCTCTACCCTGACAAGACGTCAATCCACAGTGATCCATACTTTGCTCTCCTCTATTGTCTACTGGTTTGTGGTTTCCATGATTCGCTGTTCCCGAAGTTCTTCAAGGAATCATACGTAATCAACAAACAGAAGAAGAACAAAGCCCGTGTCTCAGCATTTTGGAAGCAGTGTTTCGATAGCATGAAGAAGGAGTTCATCTCTTTGAAAGAACTCATAGAAGAAAGAACTACACGAGCTACCATGCAAGGAAGGCCTCCAATCAGAAACTAGCCGAAACGACGTCCGTCAGTGGTCTCGCCCAGGTCTTCCGCACAGGCTGGCAAAGCTGATCCATCCACAGCCTTTTTGACTACGTCGTAGGGACAAAGACCCTTACAAACCAAGCAGGCAAAGCTCTAGGTGGTTGGACAACCCGCTGCAATGATGAGATCCAATGCGGTATCCCTCCCAAGCTTGAATCAATCCGCACCAACACAGAGCTAGTGAACGACTTTGTCCAAGCCCTTTTCACTGCAGACGTTGAATCTCAATGGCCTGCTCCCATCAGAAACCTCTTGACAGCCTCATTGTTGAGGCATTATGATGATTTCATCTACATCCTCCTCCAGCACCCAGCAGACGTGTACAACAACAACTCCCGTCATGTCCTTGTCAACACCATCAAAGAAGCGTTAGGACTCTCCAAAGTACCCAAGAACACGTTCTGTAATTGGTGCAAGGAAGTCAAAGAAGGCTTTGCGGTTGCCAACTTCATGTCCCTCCCAACTGACCTCCTCCCTCCCAACGCCATAACAGGCAGGAACTCAGGTCGACTAACGTTGCCTGTTTGAGCACTACAATCAACTATCAGTATCCTACAACAGTCTGTTCGCACAGAAGATGGCCCTCCAAGATGATGTCCACCACCTCCGCAATGACGTCACTATCTTGACACGTAGTAATGAGCGCTTGGAAAAGGTAGTCACTCAACAAAGCGAATTCCTCGCCAGGGTAGTCGAAGTCCTTGAAATCAAACATGCAAAGCAACGCCCAAGCTCCCCATCACCCAAACCCACCACCCCTCTCTTCTTCGCCGACAGTATGAAAAGTCTGAGAAAGGATGCAACAATTCAGGAGTTGTTTATTGTTACATTCTTCTACCGCCGTTGCATGGAAGGCTACCAGCTCAAGCTGAAGAGCCCTGAATACAAAGCAAAGCTCAAGAGTGAACAGAACTCGATCAAAGGTCAGTACAAGAGACTGAAGAAAGTTGTCAAAGTCATGCTCTTCTGCTGTGACAGTTATCCATCTCCACCACCCGAAGATGTTGAAGGCTTCAATTCTTGGCATAAGAAGTTAACGGATACTGCAGAGCAGTGTGCCAGTGAGTTAACCTCTGCATTGACTGAAGAAGAGTCACTCCTTCCCAAATGCATCACGCAAGCATACATTCAAAAATCCTCATCTGTTGCCGCCTGGGATAATCCACATTCACCCAAGGCAAAACATGCTCCTCACAACACTCCCCAGTCAGTGCTAGCTCATTTTGCTTTTAATCCTAGTAATTCTAAGTAAATGCTTCTGACAACCTAGCTAGGACTTCCAATGATACCTCTCTCGCATGACAAAGACGCGGTTTCAGCCACTTCGATGCCATCTGGAAGCGGTACCCCCTGCAGAGAACACCACCTTCGGCAAGCACACTGCCCAGTATTTCCTTGATGGCAACAAGCTTCACACGCAAAATTGTTCGGTGGTTGGAACCCTTTGTTGGAGTTAAGATTGGGCCAAGAACTAGCTCAATCGGGCTGATATTGACTGAGATATGGTCTGCTCAACTAGGGGCTTCCGTCGCGACTTCCCAAGATGGCCCAATCTGCCGGTCAATTGAAGTCGTCTGTTAGAGCTCTTCCTCGTGCAATCACCCGGTTGCACTTTTGTGCTT